TCTCTCTCTCTCTCTCTCTCTCTCTCTCTCTCTCTCTCTCTCTCTCTCTCGTGACAGCGCGCGACGAGAAACCGGGACGTGTGCCCGTTGTGCTCCTAGATGCCGTCCATAATTCACTCGCGAGACCTGCGACGCCGCCACGCCGGCGAGAAATCCGGTCGATTTCGGAGCCCGCCGCCACGGGCTTCCGCGTCGCCCACACGCGACGCTACTGCGCAATTCAGCGGTGCGCATATATCGATGCATCGCGTCGCCCGCGTCGCCTCTCGTCGTGCCACGCTGAAACTGTCCTCGTTCGCGATTTTTGAGCCACAGCTGTTTCTTCGCGCGAAAAATTACACGAAACGCGCTCGTACGCGGCATCGAATAATTGCCGGCTATTTTCGGAACAGATCGCTCTCCGCGATACCGTTATGTAAAGTTCACGGCACCGTTATATAAAGTTACGTGCGGTGTAATCACATTTGGGCGATTTACTTCCGAGTGGGATCCGTGTGATGATTTTATCGATTAAGCTCGGGCACTTGATTAATTTCCGTGTAACTGAGCAATGCGTTTAGAGACGCGCTGTGAAAACTCCAAATATTTATATTTTCCGTGGAATTCACACGGCAAATGTCCTTGATTCTTGCGTATCATATGTAAGTTTACGCTTTCAAATAGTCAAAGTTATTGTCGATCTACTTAAATTATTGAGTCGATTTTTCAAATATGCTAACATATACACGCACACACATGCATTTGTATGGTGCAGAAATATCTGGACTTAATGTGATAATGTAGTGGTCTTATCTGTTTATTGCGGCATCGATTAATTCATACCTACTCGACTCGTTGCCTCCATATTTATTCGATGCCGTCCACGTCGACTCTCACATTTATTACGACCGTATAAGAAAATAACTCTTTGACGCCACGATATTAATATATAATTATCCATAATTATTTTTCAATACTTTTGGGAAACATTTTTATATCACGGCGTCGAATTTATCGGAATCTTCCGAAATATATTCTTGGAAATTAAAAAAAATAGATAAGTAACGGTTTTTCGTTTAAGCTTTTCTAAAAGGAAGGATTCTACAAATTCGTAATTTACTTATTTATTTATTTATTTAGAAGTAATTAGAATTAATTAAAAGTAATTTATTTATTATTATTTATTTATTTAGAAGTAAATGGGAAGAGAATGTATTTGTTGGTTCTGAAACAACTGTGTGATATTACGTTAAAAGAAAATGCGCCAGAGGCGCTCGGTCGAAAGGTAATTGAGGTCTATAGGTAAAGGCATCGAGGTAACGGTGTCATTTAACGAATCCACGATATTTTCTTCGTGCCGTACGTCTTTGGAAATAAATTTCGCGCTCGAGCGGGGGGAAGTCTTATGATTGTACATGACCGCCGCCGTTGTCCTTCGTGCGCTTCTTCAGGCATCGTCGACTACGCGTATGCTACGAAACGCTTCGATGCCCGCGGTAAAAACATTTAATCAGAAGCACGAGAGAGAAAGATAGAGAGAAAAAGAGAAAGAAAAGAGGAGATAACGAGAAAACCTTCGCGTTTCTACGAAGAAGAGAAAAAAGATAACAAACAATGTACGATGCAATTTTATTTCTCGCCGAACTTTGCGGTTAGCGTTGTATCGTGTAGTCTCTCGTTGCGACGCGTATACGCAATCATCATATCCGCTTGAAACTGATAGAAGAATTATAATTTTGTAAAGTATCTTTTAAGAAGCTTAATATATAGAAAAATATAATCTTATTCTTAAAGGATATTCTCTTAAAAACATGGCTTCAAGAAGGTTCTTTTTGAAGCCAAAAGGAATACATTATGAACACAATATTCTTAAAGTTGGAAGGATTTCGTCTTCTATCTACAATTCTTGTTCTTAAGAGAGAATTCTTCTAGAGAGAATTCTCTGCTTCAAGTAAATATATTCCTCTTGTTTCCAAAGGGAAAAATTAGAATAATGTCTAGTAGATAGATTTCCGATTAACAGTTCACTTCGATAGAAGAGGAATATTCTTTCGATGGGAATTTTTACTTATACTGCAATTCTAAGCAGAATCGTAAGTCTTGTAACTTATTCTCGTAAAATTCGTCAGAACTTATGAGTAAATTTACAAGTCTATGCAATATAATATGTCGCACAATTACTCGTAAATATCTACGATTTCATGTAATTTACAATATTTACAAGTGATTGTACGATATATGATATTGCATAGACTTAAATCTACTCATAAGTTCTGACGAATTTTATGAGAACAAGTTACGAGATTTACGATTCTGCTTAGAATTGCAGCATTAGAATACGGGATTACGGGAAATATCTTGCTCAACTAGAGTTCTTTCTTTCAGAAAGAATATTTTCTAGAATATTTTCTAGAATATTTTCTAGAATATTTTCCTTTTGGTTTCAGAGCAATCTTTTTGAAATCGTATATAAGATATATGGATATCTATTAAGAATAAGATTATATTTTTTGAGGTGTATATATATTTCTCTCTCCGTCAAAATTCTGCTTAGAAGTTTCTTGAAGAAACGGTGATTAATCACTCATTTACATTACGTAATTCGATATTTTGAAGAGGAAGGATCCACGTATTCACGGAAAAAAAATTTGGCTGGAAAAATTTAATCAAATTTTTGGTTATATATGAATTAACTCGAAATTCCGACTGAAGTTATCAGAGTTTTCTGGTTTGCTCATATTTTTCAACAGAAATTTAGTTAATTCAACTCAACTCTTTCTTCCGTGTTTGGAATTTTCACGTTGCTTTTGAAATTTCCCGTACAGGAAATGTTTCTGAGAGTCCTCGTACTCGTTCGACTATCTAGGAACGTCATTCCTCTTGCTAAATTTCAAGGGAACTTTAACGTTTCTCATCCCCATAGTCGTAGTTCCGGCGATTGTCGGTATTGTAAGCGTTATCATTCTCGTTATCATTACCATCACCGGTGGTGCAGCTTCAAGGTGCTCTGCTGCTGCTGCTATAGCGACGAGGATCGCTTCGCGGCAGTAACGTAACGAGCATCCTCGCGTCCTCATCGCGCCGTCACCGTTCCGTCCTCGTATCTCTAGCGAGAGCCAGGTTATCACGAGGAACGCGCCAGATGTTGCGCAGCATTGTGCAAAAAGCGCCTCTCACCAGATGCAATATCTTTAGCGCAATATGTGACGATGTCGCCGGGCAAGTCCGGCTCTTACAAACAATCCCCTTGTAGGAAACTCGCGTCTCGAATTTACCGATGAAATCTGCGCTTCATCTTTATTTAAACAGTTCGAGCAGTAGCAGCAGCAGCAATACGCAAATCCGTACGAGGCAAAGTCGCGTGAATCCCTCGACTCATATTTATTTCCTGTGCTTTTTGCCGTGAACTTTCACGGCGTTTCCTTTAAGCATAAGAGAACGAGCGCACATTAACGGAACGAATGTTAAAATAGCGAATAAGTATATTAAATTCTTTTTAAGCATTTGCAGCACTTTCGCGAGAATCTCTTGCTTGTTCTATCGGATTTTATTAAGTTGATCCATAAGTTCGTGCGGATTTGTGTTTAGTTGGCATCCGCATATTAGGAGGTTAGTTCTATAGAGTTATGGAATAGTTGAGA